GTATAAATTTTAAATCAAAAATCAAAACAATCAAGCAATCAACAGCCAAGAGTACCAAAAAAAAAAAACAATCAACAAAGGGAAGAGAATAAGATCATTATAGCGAAACAATCAACAAGTCTTTCCATTAGCTTTTGCGCAGATTTCAAAGTGGTAGGCTCGTAAATGTTCAACGTCTTTAAAAGAGAAAAGTAATCTGACATATGATGTAGAAGAGTTTGTATTTTTTTAAAACTTAATTTGAAGAATTGTGGGGTGTGTGGGGTGTGTGTATAGATGTATTAGGGTTAAGTATTAAGTTGGATGACCTTTTTTGTCTTTTTACACGATAATAAAACTTACAGCTTAATGATTTAAATATTGGGGTGAACTAAGAGAAGTGTGGAGTTTAAATAGAAAAAATCTTCTCTAATTACCAAACCGATTAACCAGTTGACACGAACATGACCTTGAATTTCACTCATCGTCTTCTCCACTCAACTAAGCCATTCCAATTTCTGAAGACCAATCGCTCAACACAACACTCCAACACAAACCCACTTCCATTTCCCAATCCTCCACTCCTCCCCTTCACTCTTCGACCCCCAACTCGCTCCAACTCACTGTATGGACGAGTCAGCTCACTCCTCCCGCGTTCCCATAGCTCCTCTTCAAGCCCATTCAGCACCCAAATCGTTCTCGAAATCTTCATCCTCTTCGCGTTCTCTCTGGTGCTTCTTTGCCTTCGGCTCTTCTCCAGCGTCCTATTGCCCGATTTTCCTCGCCGCTGGCACGGCCTTGTGGCTTTTGCTTCGGAAGCTGAGGCCAGAACCAATGCATACCCTTCGCACCTGTGGCAAGCCATTGTTGCTTACGAGGACAGAAGGTTCTTTAGCCATTTTGGGATTGACCCAGTTGGGATTGCTCGTGCAATGGTGTCGTTTTCGGCTCTTGGCGGTGGTAGCACGATTACCCAGCAGGTACTTATTTTTTGTCGACCGTTTTACGCAGACCATGTGTTCGATGTTTTTACTCAAAGAAGTATAGTTTTTGTTTGCTTTTTACTTGTTTAAAAAAAAAGGCTCTTTTTATTTTGATTGACGTGTGGAGTATAGGCAGTATTTTATAAAGTATGATTGATGGTTGAGAATAGATTATATAAAAAAAGAATAGTTAAGAGGGGTATGGTGCTATAGAGGACAATCATGTTAGAATAAAAAAATGGCTTTCTAGTTTCTGGTGTCTCCCTGGCACTGAAATCTTTACAGCTGAATCATAATGGCATGCGTAATGCTTTTATTATAAAGTAGGGTGATAAAATATAGAAAACTGGAATGATAATTGTGTGATTATAGATGGTCGGGATATAAAAAGGTGTTAATGCACGGCACGCCAATCTTCTTCGTTTAGCAAACGACTTGCTGAGGTTTGACCGGCACCGAGATTTTAATATATTGCCACCCCTGCTGATGTAGACGCCGAATAAACGATTTACATCTACTTTGTCTACCAATTAGGAACAAGTTGGTGGAGAGAGATAGTCAACGCTAACGTAAAACACAGAAGGAGAATTGGAGAAAAGACACGGAGATAACAGAATAGGCCATTTCCAGTCTCAACAATACACCCCTTCGTCTCACTTGTTTTTGCTCTTCGTTCCATCAAACCCCTGCATGGGGTCCTTCTTATTCATCCCTACTGCTTTCTTACTTTTTGTTCTCCTTGTTCTCGTCTCCGGTGGATCTTTCTCAGAGTTCATATACCCGAATTTCTCAGCTTCACACTTTCAATTCGTTGACAACGCCGGCGGTGCCTTCTTGTCCTCTCGAAATGGAACATTTAAAGCTGCTATTGTCAATCCTGGTGCTGAACAACCCAACTTCTACTTGTGCATCATCCATGTGGCATCCAACACCGTCATCTGGACTGCAAATCGTAATGCTTCCATATCAGCTTCTAGTAAGATGAATCTAACGGCTAAAGGTGTTAGCATTTCAGATGAGGATGATAATCCCGTATGGTCAACTCCATCATTGAAGTCACCAGTTTCTGCATTACTGCTGAATGAAATGGGTAATCTTATCCTTCTTGATCAATTCAATGGTTCCCTTTGGGAAAGTTTTCATTATCCAACCGACACGATTGTGATTGGACAACACTTACCAGTTGGGTCATTTCTGTCCAGTACTCGATCAAATTTTTCAATTGGTGATTACAGGCTCATAATAAGTGATTCTGATGCGATACTTCAATGGCTTGGACAGACATATTGGGAATTGTCAATGGATACAAACGCTTATAGAAACTCGAATTATATAGTGGAATATATGTCCATTGACAGAACAGGTCTTCATCTGCTTGGTCGTAATGGAACAGTGGTCGTGATTCAGGTACTCTTGTCATCTTCTGACTTGCGAATTGCCAAGTTGGAGTCCTCTGGCCAATTTACTGTCAAAAGTTTATCTGGTACTGACTGGAAGCAAGAATTTGGCGGGCCAGCTGATGATTGTCAAATTCCATTGGTTTGTGGCAGAATTGGTTTGTGTACTGCATCCACCAGCCATACTTGTTCATGCCCCGCAAGCTTCCATGCAGGTTCAGAAGATACTGGCGGTTGTGTGCCAAGTGGTTCTTTTTCTTTGCCGTTTTCTTGCAACTCAACCATTAATGGTAGTCAGTTGAATTCACCAGCCATTTCATATATCAGGCTTGACTACGGTATGGATTATTTTGCCAATGTTTTCTCTGAGCCTGTAAAATATGGTGTTAATTTGTCAACCTGTCAAGCTCTCTGCTCAAATGACTGCACTTGCTTGGGAATTTTTTATGAAAATTCATCTGGTTCTTGCTATACACTTAAAGACGAGTTGGGTTCCATTTTTGTGAGTAATACAGCCAAAAATGACCTGTTGGGCTACATCAAGGCTCTTGTTGGATCTTCTCCATCAAACTTCAGTGATAATAAGAATCCCAGCAATCAAAGCAAAAACTTTCCTGTAGCTGCTCTGGTGCTTTTGCCGTTCAGTGGGTTCTTTCTGTTGGTAGCTCTAGGTTTCCTCTTGTGGGGAAGACGGAGACAGTCAAAGAAAAAAGAGATAAAATTAGGGCATTTTGGTTCACTTTCTTCAGGGGATATGGATGCCTTCTATATCCCAGGTTTACCTAAGAGGTTTGATTATCAAGAACTTGAAGTGGCTACAGATGATTTCAAGACCCTGATTGGGTCAGGTGGGTTTGGTGCTGTGTATAAGGGTGTTCTACCTGATAAAACTGTTGTAGCTGTAAAAAAGATAATAAATTTAGGTGTTCAAGGGAAAAAAGATTTCTGCAGTGAGATTGCAGTAATTGGTAATATTCACCATGCCAATTTGGTCAAACTGAAAGGTTTTTGCGCCCAAGGGAGACAACGCCTTTTGGTTTATGAGTATATGAATCGTGGGTCACTTGACCGCAGTCTTTTTGGTAGTGGACCAGTATTAGAATGGCAAGAGAGGCTTGATATAGCACTAGGGACAGCCCGTGGGCTTGCATACCTGCACAGTGGGTGTGAACAGAAGATAATCCATTGTGATGTGAAGCCAGAGAACATTCTCTTACACGACCACTTTCAAGCAAAGATCTCCGATTTTGGCCTTTCAAAGCTTCTAACTACTGAACAGTCTAGTCTATTTACAACTATGAGGGGCACGCGTGGCTATCTCGCCCCAGAATGGCTTACTAACTCTGCAATCTCAGAAAAAACTGACGTCTATAGTTTTGGAATGGTACTACTTGAACTTGTGAGTGGAAGGAAAAATACATTACGACTGCAAAGCCATAGCCTGAATAACAGTAGCAGCGGTGGGGGTCAGTCATCATTGTCATCTGGGTCAGCACTTGTTTATTTTCCTCTATTTGCTCTAGAGATGCATGAGCAGGGGAGGTACTTGGAGCTTGCTGACTGGAGATTGGACGGACGGGTGACAAGTGAAGAGGTGGAGAAATTTGTACGTGTCGCATTGTGTTGCGTTCATGAGGAACCGGCACTTAGGCCTAATATGAATACTATTGTTGGCATGCTGGAAGGTGGGATCCCTTTGGGTCGGCCAAATTTGCAATCATTGAATTTCTTGCGCTTTATTGGGCGTGGATTTACTGAGGCTTCTATGATAGAAGAGGGAACTGAGCAAATTGATCGTGTGTTGTATCCAGAGGCGAATGCTTCTCCTACAACAACAACAATGGACTCGCGTAATTACTTCTCTTACGTCTCTTCACAGCAAGTTTCAGGCCCAAGATAGTGTTGAGTAGTTGAGCAGCTTGTGTATAGTTAACCGTGATGAGAATTAAATATATGTGATTTGGATTTTAATTTTCTTTCTCACTCTATATTGGAATCTACTGTATAATTCTTACATCTTTCCACAAGGTTCAAGGTATGTTGAATGCTGTAATTTGTGCAGTTCATGTAAAGAGCTCTTTTGAGAAAGTAATATGACTTAAATGTGTGGAAATTAGATGTAGCAGGTTTGTATTACTTTGCCATAAATGTTATTGTGAGAGATTTCGGAGTAGATCATGCGTTCTTAGATCTTTCATATGAGAGACTGAGAGAGGTTGTCATGGATGTGGGTAAGGTGTTTGTTGATGGTGGCCACAGAATGCATGAGGATGCCTGTGGTGAGATGTTCTTCTTTGTACTTTTAGCAATGTTATCATATATATGGGCATTGGTTGACAATTTCCTTCTGGATCAGTTGTCTTTTGCTTATACTCACTGACCTCTTCACTAAGCACAGTGTATTTCATGTATTTCCCCACTTGTATGCCTGCGTTTTTTGACCTTTTGTTTGCTAAGAAAAATATTGTGCCTGAGATATTAGCTGATAGGTTTACGCATGCCACTATGTTTTCTATTAGCAAACCTGATATGTCCTCTGCTCACTCTTTGCCTGTTTGTGATACACTCTAAGAAAGTAAAAAGTGGCTTTGGATTTGTATTACGTTGGTAGTCTATGTTTTTTTTAATTGAATACTGTTCTTAACTAATAAGAATTTATTTTGTTGTTTCAGTATTCAGTTTTACAAATATATATTTAACTGTTTTTTTTCCTCTTTCACTGTCTCGATTAACGATTCTGTTTATTCTTACTGCTTTAATCCCACATTTCAGCTGGTGAAAAATACTTTCCTTAAAAATGAACGCACACTCTCAAGAAAAATGGTTGAGATGGTGATGTCACTAGCATTGGAGAAGACAATGTTAAAAGGGCAAATATTGAGCTGCTATATGAGTAAGGTAAAGTATACTCATTTATCTCATCATTGATCTCTCTGACATTTTATATAATATTTGTGTTTAACATCTTTATCTACAAGTATACGAAATACAAGATTAGTTATCAGGGATGGCCTTTCTCAGTTTTTATTCATCATCTCACTCATGTAACATCAATCCCTCACCTAACTCTGGATGGTTACATTTTGGTACTAAGATTTATGCTTTTCCCTATTAGTTGTGGTATGGTATGCTAGGACAAGTGATTCTGCAGATATCTTAAGATAACCAGTTATAGAGATCTTTCTTTCCTCACCTGAGAGAATGAAGTTGCAAGTGTTTGCACTTTCAAATGTTTTCTCTTCATGCAGTTGGAGATTTTTTCAGTCGAAGGAAACTAAAAGTTAGTGAAAAAGGAGGCTGGGGTGCAACAAGAGAGGTTTTGTTTTCCCTTTTCTTTTTTACAAACTTAGAACTTAGAAGCTAGGTTTGGTTTTTCTCAAATTATAACATGAAGCATGAGAAAACTGAAATCAAGGTGAGTTTCAGCTTGGTTCATTGGGTAGCCCTGTTGTGAGCTGTACACCTCTCTTTTCCCTGCCTAATTTATTTGTCTTAACTAAACAATTGCCTGGTACCAAGTAAGCATTTGAAAAGATTACTGTAACAAAGACTCTACATATAACAGACCTAGGTGTATGACAGATATACTGGGGACATGGAATTTATGGGGTTGAATCAGCATCAACATTCTATTTTGGGAAGCATCCATCTTGTCTAAGTTTGGGGGAGTCTGCAATGCTTGCTGGGCTAATACCTGCCCCAGAACTTCGATCGCCAATCAGGGATCCTTCCAGGTTCGTCAGCGCTATTGATGATTTGGTTCCTTTTTCATTTTTTGCTTTGTGCTACTACCTTTGGTAGTTCCATAATTATAAACTTCTTGTGCACTTTGTGATTTTTACTCTATTCACTATTTACTTTCGGGTTTATTTCCAAACTAATTGTCAACGCAAACTTTTACTATGTCATAGTGGAAAAACCTTCCAAGCCAGAGTTTTGAAGAGGATGGTGGACGTAGGCTTTCTTGATTTTGAAACAGCACTTTTTGTCGTGAAACAGTATCTTCCTCTGCATGTTACTGAGTCAGAAGCACCTGTTGTCTTTCTCCCGGGAGGTATGTGTTTCCTATAATTATTACAGTAGCAAGTTTTCTGAATCCCAGATTCTAAACAAGCTGTGGCCCCTTAAAATTGTTTAGAATTTTGTATGCGATATTTTCTGTCATATTTTGGGATTCAGTGAATAAGAGGTCATGAATACAGCTGTTCTATATTCATGGGCCAAACAAATAGGCATTTAATTTTAAAAAACTTTTTCTTTGGGTATAAATTTGTCATTTCAGTATTTTTAAAGGACTTAATTACTGTTTTACCCCTGGAACTCGAAATCGATCTCACTTTACCCCAACTGAAAATTTCTCACTTAAACTCCCATTCTCCTCACTCTGTCTGAAAAGTTAATTCAGAGCACGGGGTAACTTTTCCGATGGAGTGAGAGAATGGGAGGTCAAGTGAGACATTTTCGGTTCCAGTGGTAAAGTGAGACCGAGTTTGAGTTTCAGGGGATAAAACAGTAATTAAGCATTTTTAAATAGACCCCAAAAAAAAAAAAAAAAGCCTTTTTGATCCGTTTGATTGTTAGTTGGGAAGCTTACATGGTTGGGTAAATTTAATCCAGTTGGTACAAACTCCAAATTGAGGGACATATGGGACTGGGAAACAGAAAGCAAAATCTGGGAAGCATGTGAGGATATGGAAAGATGGGCCCTCAAGGTCCGGGACGGAGCCTCAGCAAAACGTTCTTGTTCTCAATATTAATTGTGAGTGATCCTACCATTAAACTAGTTCTTCTGGCCCCTCTTGAAGCTTTGTTGCACAGATTTTACAGTATACATAGACTGGACCACCTCACAAGCAATATATTACCTTCGAAGTCTTGTTTTCATCGCTATTACTAGCTATTTTATGACTTGGTTAAATTACTCAAATAGTTCTCAAACTTGTACTCGATTTACATTTTGGTCCCTAAATTAAATTATTAGTTCAAATCGTACATAAACTCTACTTTAATCGCTCATTTGATCCAACCGTTACATTTTCTTTTAAATGTAACCAAATTTTAGGGGCAAATACGATTTTTCATAATTAACAAATAAAATAGGGTTAAAATAAATACAAAATTAGAAAATCATTGAAGAAAAAAGAAAAAAAAAAGTGTTTGGTCCCTCTGATGTCTCTTCCTCTTCCAATAGAACCCATTTCTCTGGAGAACTCCAACACCCCATTCTCAAATTGCCTCCCATTATTAATCCCATATGAGTAAACCCCTCCTCCAATCCCCTCTCCCTCATCCCCACCACTAGTAAACAAAGACCCATTTCTTGAGCCTGGCAAGCTGTATCCATGTGGCAAGGACTGAAGCAATTCCTTGAACAATGGTGGCTGTGGAGGCAGGTTCAAATGGAAAAGTGGGTCATAGAGAACCGAACTCGCTGTCCCTGGTGGGGTGTCAATCCCACCGTGGACATCTCCGAGGAACCCCAAAGAGTTCGGAAAATTCGAGCTTTTCGGGTTGGGGTTTGTGAAGGTAATGGACGAGTTCTGGAGAACAAAGGAGGGTGAGCATCTAGGTAAGCTAAAAAGGTTGAGAAGGTCAGGTGTAGGTGGGTATGCACCATTAGCACCATCTTGCAATTGTTGCTGCATCTGATCATGGATACCATGAATATTGTCCCAATTGGTTTGTTCCTCAAAGGAAACCAAATGGCTGCTGTTGTTGTTCTGGTCAGTATTGGTGTTGTATAGATTGAACCCAAGTTCATTTTGGAGCTCAATTTCCATGGCAGCATGATGATCTTGTTGATGAGGGTAGGAGAGCTCTTCCATGGAGAGTCTCAAGTTTTCTGCAACAGCAAAGCTGTTGTTGTTGTTGTTGTGGGTTTCTTAGGGAGAAGGCATGAGAACTTGTGGTGGAGGTGGCGGGGGAAGAGGGTTGAGGTGGAGGACACTTTCTGCTGATTCTGGCATGGAGTTTTGGTCAAAGTTGCAGCCTACTGTATCTTCATACATTTTTGGACCAGTCTTTAATTTGTCTTATAAAGCCTTTTGCCTTTTATGGGTCTGTTTTGTCTCTCTGCAGCATTTTCACATAAATGGGGCTTGGGATGGAGGGTGGTTGTTGGATGAGTTTGGGTGGAGAATGGTTGTGGGATGGGTTTGGGGTTGGAGCTTGAGGGAGGGAGTTTTTATTTATTTTTTAGTATTTATTTATTTTTAACGTACGAAATGACCAATTTGCCCTCATATTTAACAGCAACATTGACAGAATGTAATGATTGGATCAAATAGGCGATTAAAATAGAGTTTATGTACCATTTGGACTAATAATTTAATTTAGGGACCAAAATGTAAATCGAGTACAAGTTTGAGGACCATTTGAGTAATTTACCTCTTTATGACTTTATGTATGCATTGACAAATTAGTTCTTCTCTAGATTTTTGTTTCTTCCGAATTTCTAACAATTATTGATGGTTGCAAAGGGGTTTGTAGCTTAAGTGTTTTTCATTGAGAAGTTAAGTTTAATCCTCAGATTTGGCGACTTTGACTTTTGTGCCATATATGATTACATTCCATTTGAAATATTTTCTTATATAATCTTTTTATTTTTATTTTTTAAAATCATTTTTTGTTCCAATATTGCCCCTTAAATCTTGAATAGCGTAACTATAATTTATGTGATAATGACAGGAAAGAACTATTTATGACCATAACTAATTAACAAATTAAGTGCTTATAACCATAATGATTTTGGTATATTAATTACTTTGTTTTTTTTTCCCTTCTTTTAATTGCATCCATAATTTTGTATATTAACGTTGTCTTTTTTTTTTTCTTCTACTTTTAACCCAAAAAAATAGTTGGCTTTCTTTCTTATTGTTTATGACCTCTTTATTAAGTAAATTGAAGAGACAAAAAAAAGAAGGTATATTGAAAAGAGTGCTGCTACTTTCTGGTAAAAAAAAAAAAAAAGTGTTGCTATTTCCACCCACTTTATTTTCAAATTTTTAATAACAAATTTACCTCATTGTAAAATGACTTCTGAGGACAAACTTACAACTCTCTCTCTCTCTCTCTCTCTCTCTCTCTCTCACATGCACCCACCCCCCATATTTTCTTTTATTGTTTTTTTTTTCCAAAACCCACACCCATCTGCAATCAATTTAGGGGGCTGTACAGCCACCTCTGTCGCTAGTTTAGGTGTTGGTTTCGGATGGTCTTCCTGGACCTCCTTAATTGTAATGCTTTGTGGGGAATTTCTCTTTAGCTGGGGCATAGCGCCTCCAGATGAAACTTCCTCTTTTGAATGCTCTGTACTTTGGCCCCAATGGCATTAGAATGATATATATATATATATATATATATATATTCATTTTTGGTTTTGTCTAGTGAAGGAGGAGTGAGGGTTGCAGTGGGAAAATCAACTTGGTTGTTCCAAATGGGGTATTTTACCTAAGTTAGGAGTTTGGGCCGGTGGTTTGGAGTTTTTCCGACCGCCAGGAATTGATCAAGCCACCCACGCGCTGTCGGCACGTGTGGCGGCTCGTGGGCAGTTTGATAGAGACAAGATTGATAGAGACCACTTTCAGTTCTAGAATGATTCTTGGGTTGTCACGAGCTCTAGGAATTCGCGGATCTCAATTTGGTTAACGTTTGAACCCTGAACGGATCTCGCATATTGTGTGATTTTCGGGTTCAATAGTTTCGAACCGTTGGATTGTAACTATTTTCAGATATGGTAATCTAGACTTGGTCAGGATCGTATAGTATTTGACGGATCGTAAAACGGAGTCCCGGTTACTCCAAGAATGTCAGCCCTAGAGTGAGTTTTACAGTAAACAAACCAGTTACAGGTTAGGAACAGAGGAAAGAACTACGTATGACTTGATCCCTCAGTAAGGGTACGTAGGCAGCCTACAGTTATCAGGCGCAGCCACGAGTTAGGGCCTCAGGGTTTGTGTTATTGTTTTCAGGGCATTTTGGTCATTTACGACCCACAGCCACTAGGTGTTAGTTTTAAACAGGATTCGACCCAGATTCCAAAGTGGAAATTGGGTCAGGTCATTTCATATATCATATTGTATAATTTTATACAATATTGGAAAGAAAAAAAATGAAATATGACATACGTATTCCTCTAAACATTTTTTAGCAGACAAATTATACAATATGACATACGTATATAAACTTCTCCTTTTATGATTTGAATGAGTTATTTTTGTATTTGCAAACAGTGTATATATTACTTTTTTTTTTTTGGGACAAATCTTTATATTACATTGGTAACGTTGAAATTAGCATATAAAAATTCAATTTTTTTTTCCTTTTTGGACTTGATTATATGTAAGAATTTTATGTACCACCCTTTACGTGCTAGTGATTTAAGTCGAAGGGTGGGTAGATGGGGAAATAGATTATGATTTGGTCGAAGGGTAGATTCCCCTTCATGATCTCCAACCTCTGCCCCTCTTCCCCTTCCTATCTCTCGCTTTCTTGTTGAACAAACTTGCTTTTACCTGGACAAATTAGTTTAACATCTGAGAAGTTCAAAACAAGAATTATCATCTGATAAGAATGTTCAGTTTCACTTCACATGCTGACCAAGTATCAATTGATTATGTTTATACCAAAATGAACAGCCTATGGGAACCAGACACGTGGACAAGATTGAGTGCGACCACGGTAGCCTTTGGCACCTAGCCTACCGATTCAATGATTAGGGCAACCTCCTTCTCTAGGACACGTGACAGGCCCACAATCGATGTCTACAGTCCCACATCGAAATTCTACACAACTTGCACATCTTCCAAGGTCTATAAAGGAAGCATAATTCCCCAAAAAGGAGGTAATCAGAACTTGCGGCATACTGCATATTGATCTGTCAGTTTAAGCTTACTAAATATGTACTTACTCAAGCATCGGAGAGCTTTCGGCCGGTACCACACTGGTGCCCTTAGGTCTAACCGAGCGTTCGTTATCTTGTAGATCACACGCTCCACCGAGGCCCAAAGCATACTGAAGGCCCAACATCACTAAGTTGAGCGGAAAAAGTGCCGAACCATTTTTACGCATCAACAGATTATATTGTGTGTTTTACTTGGTCATCGAATCATCATAACATAAATTGAAAAGAACAATGTGTTCAGTAAAACTAGAATGATGATGGGTAGAAAACAAGTGGTTAAATAATTCACACTTGCAACCAAAAAAAAAATTATTACACTTGGACTGATCTTTTAAATGATGATCCTCGAAAGAAAGCAACAAATAAGGGAATGCTAGCAACATTTTCTCTAACCTTCTCCTTTGGACCTTCTCCATTTTTTGATTGACATGTATCATTCTCTTTATACTTAAAACAATATTATACAAGCTAACTTTTGCTTTCCAAAAGTTTACACTTATTAAATGTATTTAATTTATTCAAAAAAATTTCACAGCTTTCTTACCATATTATTAATTTTTTTTTAACGTCAATTATTTTTTTTTTTATAAAGAAAATATGTGCTAAAAAAAAAGTAATAAAAGTAATAAAAGACAAAGGACTTGCATCGAAAACCAAAACGACGAGGACTTAGCCTAATGACAACTAATCGTTTTAGACCTAGATCTAAGAAGTCCTTAAAAAAAAAAAAAACAATTATTGATGGTCATTGTTGGATTTAACAGCTACAGCAAGTATAATGGCATTCAAAGTTTGAAACAATTCAAATTTGATTCATGGAACATTATTACAACAGATTGTGACGAAATGGTACAATTTGAGCAAATGATACCATACAGATGGATGATGATGAAGATGAACTGACTTGACTTTGTGAAGGCCCTCACAGAATGCAAGTACTACGCACAAATTCTAACAAACAGCAAAACATACGAACCATTGGGACCATTGAAGAAATTTTATTGTGATGGTTGATACAAGGCACAAATGGAATAAATCACTCCTATTGTGGGAGCTTGTTGAATTTCCGGTGTCGGTATTCAGCATATGTCTTGGTTGAGTATTTGGCAGGGTTTTTCTCTTCCAGAAGCTCCGGCAGAGGCCCAATCACAGCCTCGTGCGGAGGAGCAACAAAAACAGCCCACGACATGCGCATACGTTCCTTGTTCACCAAGCTTCTGTGAAGAACACTCTTGTACTTGCCATTGCTCAAGACCTCCATCTGATCACCAATGTGAACAAAAACTGCATTTGGCAAGTAATTGACAGCAACCCAGTTGTCATCTTTCCACAGCTGAAGGCCTGGAACATCATTGGAGACTAGCAGGGTTAGGGCTGACATGTCAGTGTGGGGCTCAACTCCTAGGGCCAGTTGGGGTTGTGGGCATGGAGGGTACATGTTGATTTTCATTTCCAATTCTACTTCTTCATTTCCCAGATGAGATTTCAGAACCTTTGCTTCCAGCCCTAGACCCTCTGAAAGCACCTCCAGTAACTTGTCTGTTACTTTTAGCATCTCCTTGTTGTATTGGTCATTCACTTCCCTGTGTCAGACAAATTTTAGAGACTTTTTCAGTAACCCTCTTAATTTCAGAAAGAAAACAAAAAGAGGAAAAGACTTTATATGCCTCCTACAGTTGACCGTACATGCAAAAAGGAAACATTAGTCTTCGGCATGCGAAAAGGAAAAGAGCAATAAAGAACCCAAGTAGAAACTGCAGAAAACTCAATAAATAAATAAAAACAGAAGAGGTACCTGTAAGATGGAGGGTTCTTAGGCCAGATTTCATAGTTGACCTTAGATGGAGGGGCAGTCAGATGGAAAAAATAGTCGATCCACTCGACCTTCTCGTCATGGTTCTTGGTCATCTTAGTCCCATACCCATCAAACCTCCCACTGGCTGGGTCATTTGCATAGGCCTCTTTCTCCTCCTGTGGGAGCAAAAAGAACTCATGCCCTACCTTCTGCAATTGCTGGATCAAAGGTGACGGTATGCCGTGGTCAGTAATGAGAAAGAAGCCCCATGCAGTGGCTGCCGCTGCCACCTCCTTGACCACAACATCATGAGGCTGAGCAAGGGAGATCACGGGCACCGTGACTCCCTCTAGGGCCTTGCTATTCTCGGGCTGCTCGTGGGCTGGTCGAACGAACTTCACTGGAAGCTCGTTCAGCCCTCTGATGGCCAAGGCCTGCACTCTCTCCACCTCCATCACTTTTGTGTATATTTTTTTTGGGTCCCCCCTCTTCTTGTTTGGATGTTGAAGGAATAGGCTTAGGGTTTAAATGAAGTGAGGGGTGCAATGTGGTTATATAATGTCATAGCATATAATGCTTCACCTTTTGCATGCGGATGGGATCACTGTTGTCCCAGATGTTAGAAGGGCAGCTCCCACCAATAAAAAACATGAAACCTATATCCACCTAACATTCCCCAAAATGATTTATAGGTTTGGAAGCTGGGCATGCAGATTTTGAGTCGATGAGTAATGCTACTTTTTAAGGATTGTTTATTAGCATCTTCTAAGAAAATTGACATGTAATTGGAAGATAAAAAGACCAATATGAAGTATGATGAAAATGAAGAGGGTGGGCGACAATTGGCGTTGATAAGGCATAGAAGAAGTATGGTATAATTAAGTTAACTTTTTACATAAAAAAATTTATTTTTAGTTATAATTAATTATAGAAATGCTTTTAAACTTAACGAAAACTTTAACATAATTAGACGTAGATTGTGAATTGCAACACTTTACGAAGTTTATATGATTAAAAAGAAAAATTAAAAGTTTAGGTGGTAATGACGTACGTGCCTAAAAATTCATGTTATATTTATGTAAATTTCCCTAAATAAAATCACCAAAAGAAAAATGATTCATTAACAGATTGAATTTTTCATCCTACTAGCTAGTGATGAGTGAAAGAAAAAACCATTAGACAGAATCATGGAAAATTGATTTGCTTTTGTCAGAATTCAGATACAAGATCAGCAAAGCTTTCCTTATTTTAATGAACACCATTGGACTTTGTAATAAAATACTTATTTTTTGTGTGATTGATAGGCACGTTTTTCTGTTTGAATAAAAAAATAAGGATTTGGGTGGAGATTCCTTATCTCCATCATTATGAAAATGGAAAAGACTGAATGGGGTAGGGTAGGCAGTGGTTGAAGGTTTTATAATTTGAAAGGATATCATTCTAATCAACTCTTGTGGAAGAGTAACGTTTACAATAAATAAACTGCGGTGTTTTTCGCATGATAGTAAATGGGAGTCGGGACTTTGTAAAACTTATGAACCCTTTTGGCAGTACTCGTAATTTCCCCACTATTATGGGTCACATAAAGCTTACGAAGACTTGCACGATTCATCAATTCAAAGACAACGGAAGTTCTACCAAGTATTCTCTGTTTTTATGAAGACTTGCAGCCTCAAAATCTCCGCATTTTAATCAATTTAATTGACAAGTGGAGACGTTGAGTCCTTACCTACTCCAAGACTATAAAAAAATTTCTCTCTTTTTCAACATGTCATGGAGGACAGCATCTATTAGTCTGTATGGAGACGAAATGGTCCTTTATTTATTTTTTATAGAATAAAGAAACATTTGTGCTAATCATGCGTTTTCTTTTATATAGATTTTAAATGTAATTACAGTTGAGTACTTTCTGATTACAACCTTAAGATATATTAGTTCATATCTTTTTAATTTTTACAATTACATTACCTGATCTTTTAAATTTATTACAATATGGTTCCACCGTTAGGTTTTTGTCAAATCTCTCCATTAGTTGTCTACGTGGCATCATGGGTATCACTTTAAAAATAAAATAAAATGATTAAAATATAAATAAAATATTTTTAAAAACCAATAAGAAAACAAAGAATTTTTTTTTCCTCTCTCTCGGCACCTCATTTCCATTTCTTTCTTGGTTTTGCATTTTTCTCAGTTTCTTCAGAAAATTCATGGACAACAACAATCAGCCTCTTTCTCTCTCGACACCTCATTTCCATTTCTTTCTTGGTTTTTCATTTTTCAGCCCAAAAGTCCTCAGATCTTCAACCAAAAAAAACCTCCTTTTCACCAAAATTTTATTACAAATTTATAAATAAACCCAATCCTAGACATGTATTTATAAAAAAACTCAAGCACTATTTAAACATAGAAACACACCCAAAATCAACCATAAACTCGATTTTTTGGGTGTGTTTATAAATGGGTTTTGAGTGTGTGTAATGATGAGTTTTTGGTGTGTTTATATGTTTAAATAGTGCTTGGGTTTTTTTATATTTTCAACCCCCATTTTGGGTGTTTTAGTGAAACTCCCAAATTTTATCCTTAGTTTTCACCACCAAAACCCAGATGCCATTAACAGCCTTGTCAACCCAACATGACCCAAAACCCAGCTCAGAAGCCCAATCTTCATAAACCCAACTCAAGTTATTTACAGAATAAATAGGGGGGAAGAAGGGGGAAGAAATTAGAGCAACTCCTGCGAGGAGCCCAACCTCTATCTGGGGGGAGAAAAAAAAAATCCAGTTCCAGCGAGGAGCCCAAGCCAAGATTGGGAGTAGGACCCACAAAGACGGGCTGGCCCGAAGGCAGCTCTAGCCCGAGTTCGAGCCTGAGGGGGGAGATGACGTCAGCGCCCTACGCTCCACCAACAGCTAGAAGACATGTGTCGTCGTCTGGGCGCTCCGATCGCTTGCTCTTCTCCAATCCAACGGCTGTGCCCTATTTTGCTATAAAATTATGAAAAAAATTCAAATTTGTTTTTATAAAATACCAAAAAATTCTGGAATTTTTTTTTCTATAAATACCTACCAATACTCTTCACTTTCAACACGAAATCCTCATACATTTTCTTATACTTCTACTATTATTTGAGCTTTTTTTGTTGTATAAAATTATGAAAAAAAACCAAAAAATTCTGGAATTTTTTTTCTACAAATACCTACCAATATTCTTCAATTTCAACACTAAATCCTCATACATTTTCTTCTACTTCCACTATTATTCACTTTTTACTTAACATTTTATTCACTTTTAAATTGTATTTTTATTTATCATCTTATCCTAAAATTTTATCCGATTGAGATATGAGTTTTATAATAAATATTGACACGTACGAACCCAAAAATTTTATTAAAAATATTGTCCAAATTAATTGTATAGATAAACAAATTTGTGAAAAAAAGAAAAGAAAAAAGAATAGTATTTGCCTTTTGCCATGGCAACAGGTGGAATCACACATTGCTTTTTACAAGGACAGCTACTATTCACATGAATAGTAACTGCCATAGTTCCTTCCTTGCCATAGCAAAGGGCAAATGAGTGGAGTTGCTCTTAGGGCTGGGGGAGAAATCGGAAAATATAGTATACATGGCTGAAGCCCAAAACAACAGACCAAGCCCAAACAAATACGTGCAGGTATGTCATATTTTCTTTCGGGCCGGCCAGCAGATGGCCGTTAACTTAAACTATGCTTACCCGCCAGATCCGGCTTAACCGACCAAGTTACACGTCGCGAACACCCGATATTCACCCAATAGAATAATGCCACGTGGGAAACACCTTAAACTTGACGTTGTTGTAGCCAATGAAAATTGAGATGACGCGTAAAATACTAAAATTAATTACGACAAAAATTAACTGTTTATATATTTGCTGGATTCAATCAAGGAAGAGCTTCGAAGACTTTCTTGAGTTTGGACTCTGATCTCCATGGCGTACGTTGAGCGAGGTTCTTCTCTCTCTCTCTGCGCCTCCGTTTTCGTAATTTCGTAAATTCATGTGATGAATGTTGGGTAGCCTGAATCGGTTTCAGAAGCTAGGGTTTGATTTTTGAGCTCTTTTTTCCTCTTTTTTTTTTTTCTTGTATTATGCGATCGGTCATGAATTTCTTATGAATTAGGGTTTGATCATCAAATTATCTCTAAATTCTGGGTTTACAATTGCTTTTTGGTCCGCATGTATTTCTATCTTACAATTGCTTAATTCCTGATATTTTCAATGTTGTAATTAGGGGTTTGATTTTTATTTTTTTTTCCTTTCAATTTTATACATTTACGCTACTTACCTAGCTTAATTAGCAATTAGATGGGACAGAATTTGTATAGCATAAGCAGCTTGTGCCAGCTTTTGCTGGCTAAATACAGCTTTTTTCCATTTTCATGTTATTTATGGATCATGGTGGATTGAGATTTTTTTCTTTCTGTTCTGTTATGTTGCTTTTGCATCTTCATGCTATATTTCTTGCTTTGGGTACTGTTTGGTTTCTGGATTGAACTTGCGAAAGGAATCAAATCAAAATAAGAATGAAATGTGAAGAGATTTAGCGGGTAAGGCACGGAAATTGAACATTAGCAGGGAATATAATTGGGATTATGTGTTATTTTTTGGGACAGGACATTAGGTATATAATACAGCTTTTTCCCATTTTTATGTTATTTATGTATCATGGTGGATTGAGATTTTTTTTCTTTCTGTTCTGTTATGGTGCTTTTGCATCTTCATGCTATTTCTTGCTTTGGGTACTGTTTGGTTTCTGGAATGAACTTGCGAAAGGAATCAAATCAAAATAAGAATGAAATGTGAAGAGATTTAGTGGGTAAGGCACGGAAATTGAACATTAGCAGGGAATATAATTGGGATTATGTGTTATTTTTTGGGACAGGACATTAGGTATATAATACAAGCCATTCTATTCCAAGGTTCGTTCCAATGAAACCAAGACTATTTTACAATGAGTTTTTTGTTGTGTTTTCTTTATATGTTGGAAACATTGACGCTCACATGTACCTTAATTAGTTTGACTTTGCTCGTTTAGTGATCTATGTTGCTTTGTTAGTTGCGAGCTCAGTTTCTTCTACTAATTTAGGGCTAAGTAGCCCCTTCTCCTATTGAATACCTGACTCTAATCTCTAGTAAGTTGGTCATATATAAGTGTTGATGAGAATATGTTCACTTTGAAACATTGATGCTTACATGTATCTTAAGTAGTGTGACTTTGCTCGTTTAATGATCTATGTTGCTTGGTTAGTTGCAAGCTCAGTTGGTTCTACTAATTTATGGCTAAGTAACACCTTCTCCTTTTGAATACCTGAATATAATCTCTGGTAAGTTGGTCATATATAAGTAATGATGAGAAAGCAGTGGTCGAAGTGCATCGATGATTTTATATAGGCCAGACTTCTGAAACTGAAATTGTATTTGTTTTAATGCATGATCTTCTGCTGAGACTGGGGTTAGTAAGTTTTTTTTGGACACTGTACAATTAAAGATGCTGTTGGCATTATTAGGTGGTGGCATGGGGACTAAATTAGCCGTTTACAGTTGTGAAC